AAAACTTTAAGATATAGAAAAACAAAAAAGAAAAATAGAAAATGATAAAAAATTAAATGACATAGAACTAGAGATAGGAACTTTAGTACTATTAAAGAACGATACAGCTCATAAGCTAGAAAGAAAATATTTAGGTCCTTATAAAGTTATAAGCATAGAAGATAGAAACAACATAAAAATAGATGGGGGAAAAAAGAAACCACAAATAGTAAATAAGAACAGGTTAAAATTATTCAAAAGTTAGATTAGCTTGAGCTAGAATATATTCAAATTCTTAGACCCTATAAGCCATAAAATAAACAACCAATCAACATATAAAAATAAAATAACTGAAAAAAAAACTTTTATATATATAAAAAAAAATAATAATAATAATAATAAATGTTTATAAACATAAATATATTACTAATTAATACGTAATGTATAATTTTAAATAAAAATAACTATACTATGTTACGTTATTTTTCAAAAGGAGGGAGATGTAGTATGCGCATATGTCGTGAGTGCACTGTATCCAGTGCCCGTCAAATATATACAACATATGCTTGCAAACCTTGGTTTTATTTCCAAACAGGCCCTATTTTTGATGAAATCGACACCGTCTGTAATCCCCTGAACTTCCACATTGCTTTTAGTCCTCTGAAGTTTCAAAGGTTATGCCAACACTGATATCAGAATCAGTGTTTTTTGTGAGCCTCCCTCAATAAGCGCTCTTAATTCTAATTCACAAACTCCATACGCTTCCGATTGGCCTGGCCTTAATTTTTTTGCATCTGGCTATCTCATGTCCCTCTATCTGGCAAAAACCACATCTTCTATTGGTCGTTTTCTGTGCTGTTTTGTAGATGGCATTTTTATACTCTGTACATGAAATGTACAAGAGTATATTAGGTTTGCGGGAGCTGAAAAATGTAACAGGCAGAAGGAGGCGTGGCAGACCCCACAAAGTATATATATTCTTGATCAGCATGACGAGACGAGTCGATCTAGCCCTGTCTGTCTGTCCGTCTGTCCGTCCGTATAAACCCTGGATCTCAGAGACTATAAGAGATAGAGACACAAAATTTTGCACAAAGATGCCTTATGTGTGTATTCTATACGAGTTTGTTTTATTTTTTTGATTTTCCCCCCACTTCCCCCCTATGGGGGTTTTCCCGATTTTCCATTCGTATAATCGCCTATATCTCGGAGACTATAAGACCTAGGGACACCAAATTTTAGTCCAAGATGCCTTGTGTGAATACGCAGAAAATGTGTATTTTGGAATTTCCCTCCTTCTCCCCTCTCCCCCGCAAATCGCGATTTTCTCTAACTCCCGTAATTCTTGGAATTTCGAACTAAAATTTTGCAAATACCCCCAGTTAGTAATTATGTGTCCGTATGCCAAGTTTCACTATGATAGACCGATTTACCAAGAAGTTATAGCCATAAATATATTTGCTACTGCAGCGCTGCCCAAGCGCTGCCCAAGCGCTGCCCGCTGCTGTTGTTGATGCTGGTGCTTTGGTTGACTGCGAAAATGCTTACACAGACACGAATAGATGCGCATAGGCATACATACACTCCCACAGACGTAATTGCTATGTAAATGTGCAATTATACACCCTTTACGTGAGTTCGAATACCGAGAAAGGTAAAATCGATCATTGAATTTTTTTTTATTTTCTTAATTTTTTTTATTTTCTATAATTATTGTAAACATGTGTACAGAGTATTTCAAAGTCGGGGCACCCGACTTTAGCTTTTTTACTTGTTTTAACTGAGTCTATTAAAGTATGTGTCGGAGCACCTTGCGCTTTATTTGCGCCCTCTATTGTGGCCTATATTGCGGCCTATATTGCGCTCTCTATTTTCTCTTTGTACATATTTTTATTATGCTGGTCCGCTAACTTTGTGGCGGCAGCAAGCAAATTACTCGTTCGGTAATACTCACATTGTGTACATCGATGTACAAATTCCAAGCCATATTAAAGTCAACTGTTTATAATAGATGACTTCCGCATACATATATAATTATTAATAACTAATTAAACATCTTTTGTTTGTTTTCGCTAAAAAGCTAGAGATTTTTAATTGACGCCCGAGCATGGACATCGGTTTTCTTAAAATATTTTCTTACTTTGTTTGCAGTCTTCGCCTACGTGATCTGTGTGCAGCCGTCATAAAATTTTATTGCTGCACAGATAATCGCCTAAATAAACAAAGGATCGCTGCATGTCACCAGATAGGCTCGGCATCTATCTGCGACAGGTTCTCATATTCATGCCTGAACAGTATGACAAAACGTGTCGATATAGCCATGTCCGTCTGTCCGTCTGAGCAGGTACAAGAGCTAGAATTACCAAACTTGGTAAGGTTCCCCTAAACCCTAAACTAGTTTTGTGCGAATGTATGTAACAGGCAGAAGGAGGCGTGGCAGACCCAACAAAGTACATATATGTAAATATTCTTGATCAGGGTGACAAGTCGAGTCGATATAGCCATGTCCGTCTGTCCGTCCGTCTGGAGGAGCGCAAGGATCTCAGGAAGTACAAGAGCTAGAATAACCAAACTTGGTATCAAGTTCCCCTAAGTCCTATGCAGGTCAAGTTTATTTTTTTATTCTGATACACCCCCCCCCCCCCCCCCGCCGGAATTCGTGTTTTTTCTTATAACTTCCTTAATTCTTGGAATTTTGAAAGATTTTGGTAGTTACAGTTAGTAGTTACATCCCGCAGCGCTGCCTGCAGCTGTTGTTGTTGTTATTGATTTGGTTAAACTTTGTGCTGCACACATACACGCATACCAACACGTGATGTATGTAAATGTATGCTGTTAAAACTGAATATAAACGTCTTCTATGTATTAAATAAATTTTTTTTATTAATTTAATTAATAAAATCAATTTTTTAAAATAATTTTTTTTTTAATTTACAGAGCATATTTATGGTATCCAACCATTTAAAATTTATCAGGGAAAACGCACTAAAACAATGGTATTCGTTATTCCTGCATACGTTCCCGCGAAATAGAAATTTAATTTAAATCTAATTAATAGAGTGAAAAAGAATATTTCGCGGGTGCATGCACTGATTTTATAACGCACGCATCTCCGTTCCGCGCGCGTATTATATTCTGTACATGGAATGTACATGTAAATGGGAGTTTCTGCGAGCAGAAAAATGTAACAGGCAGAAGAAGGGGTGGCAGGAAAAAAGGCCGTGTAAAAACAGAATTAGATGTATATGTGTTTGCCTCAAAATAATAAAGAAGGCAGAGTAGTTGCGAAGGAGTACATATATCCGTCTTCAAATTCCTTAAAAATTAGTCACATAAAATAAAACCGAGTCATTGGGTAATAAATTTATTTTTGTTTGATATCCATAATATTTATTATTTTATATACATTAGAGATGAATTTGTTTATTCTGTCAACTGTTAAATCGACACTATCTTGCCTTATTTGGTTAATTAATACGTAGGCAACACTGTGTACATTGAGTTTGATAACCGGAAATAGGTCATGTGATAGGGATGTGTATGTGCAAAATTGCTCAATGTTGTTATCGATGGGAAGCATCGACTTGATGCATCGATGTACTGCGATACATCAATAAAAAGGATCGTTGATTTCGATATCTCTTTAAGAGTTGTTTCATAAATACTGGAATGTCAAACTGTCCAAATCTACATGTCGATTCCTCAGAATAATAATAGTTGACAAAATAAAGAAGAAAGGAATTCTTAAGTCTAGCGAGCAGTGTGACTACTTTAACAGGTAGCTCATGTTAGCCAGCCGCATCATGCTCAACCGGCGCGGTGGCGAGCCTGAGCTAATGATTTGGGTACCTACACATCCTTATCTATTAAGCGGGCGTCTCCCACTACGAAAAGGTTGGTGTTATGTTCGGCATCTGAATCCGAACTCATTATTATCTGTCTGTGTTTCTTATCGAGTTTTTATCTATAAGAATGTGATAATGTACCATTCGTGGTCTAGACAGAGCAAATCTATCTTATTATAGCCTGTACTCAAAGGGTGAAAGGCTATATTAATTTTGTGCGAATGTATGTAACAGGCAGAAGGAGGCGTGGCAGACCCCACAAAGTATACATTCTTGATCCGGGTGACAAATCGAGTCGATATAGCCATGTCCATCTGTCCGTCCGACGAGCGCAAGGATCTCGGGAAGTTCAAGAGCTAGAATGAGCAAACTTGGTATCCAGGTTCCCCTGAGCCCTAGGCAGGTCAAGTTTGTTTTTTTTTATTCTGATTCACGCCCCGACTGCCCCACAATTCGTGTTTTTTCTTATAACTTCGGTAATTCTTGGAATTTTTGATTCAAATTTGGCAAACACCTTCAGTTTGTGATTTTGTATCCGTATGCCAAGTTTCATAGGTCAATCCTGCCTGCAACTCTGCTGCATACATACACGCATATAAACACGGAGGGACACGATTCTGATGTAAGTGTATGCTGTTGAAACTGTACATGAACATGTCTCCACTTTTGTATATATGTATTGAATAATTTATATTTAATTTTATTTAATAATTTAATTAATATAATTTTAAAATTAATTTTTTTTTTGTTTCAAAATACTTGACCTGCCTAGGGCTTAGGGACCTGGAAATTCTAGCTCTTGTATCTTCTGAGATTCTTGCGCTCGTCCAGACGGACGGACAGACGGACATGGCTATATCGACTCGGCTTGCCACCCAGATCATTAATAAGTATACATACATATGTATATACTTTGTAGGGTCTGCCACGCCTCCATCTGCCTGTTCCATACGTTCGCACAAAACCAGTATACCATTTCATCTTTTGGATGCAGAGTATAAAAATTGGTGAGAAAAAAAATTTTAACATATACACAAATGGTTTGATGATAACAAATATAATAATAAAGTCAGTTTCGAAATAAAACTCGATTTTCGATTAATCGGATAAATTACATCGATTGTAAGCGTCGTCATGGAAATAATCCATACATCGCATCAAACATCGGATCGGAGGAATACATCGATTTATATCGCGCATCCCTGTCACATGGTCTCTTTCCTGTTTTGTTTGATAGCGTGCAAAGGTGGTGTTTTCTATATTTAATAAAATAATTGTACGATGTGAATGCTATGTGGCACGAACTCTGTTGAAAATATTGACCGTATTAATTATCTTTATATTTTAGATGCCACGTGAGATAAAAGAAGTTAAAGATTTTCTCAACAAGGCCCGCCGTTCTGATGCGCGTGCTGTCAAAATAAAGAAAAATGCTGCTAACACGAAGTTTAAGATTCGTTGTTCCCGCTTCTTGTACACCCTAGTCGTGCAAGATAAAGAGAAGGCAGACAAAATAAAGCAATCGCTACCTCCAGGTCTGCAAGTCAAAGAGGTCAAGTAATATGAGTTATTCTGACGTCAAATACATAATGTGGCTTTTTATATTACTCTTGAAATAAAATTGCTTTAAAAAAAAGCCATCAAGCAGTTCAATATAATCTTAAAGAATACGCCGTCTTTAATTTAATGCCCTACAGGCTATGTGACAAAAGGACGCACGATATGTACATACCGATTCCTTTGTGTACAACAAAACAGTTGCAACAACTGCGGTAAAAGCAGAAGACAACATACATACATGTATGTATACCCTGTACCCGTAGGGCAAAAAGGGTATACACCTATTTCTGTTTTTATACAGGTTGAAAATTAAAAATTTTATATATGGTTGCACGACTATTCCATTTGGCACGATTAATGTCTTTTTACACGACCTTTTATCGAACCGTTCTACCGTGTAAAAACAGAATTATGTGTATTAGGTTTGTGCAAAATATATAACAGGCAGAAGGAGGCATCTCCGACCTCATGATGTAAAAATATTAATCAGACGAGAGAAATTAATCTAGACATGTTGGTCCGATCTCAATAACTATAAAAGCTGAAATAACCAAAGTTGGTATCGTGTATCCAAGTTCTCCTAGGTCCAAAAAAGGACGAGTTTATTTTATTTTTTGGAATTTTTTCCTCCCCCGCAATATAATATCGTCAATACTTTCCACATTTCAAAAGCTACATAAACCAAAGTTATCTACTTTGTTTTAAATTTGATCAAAATCGGTAAAAACTAAGAGAAGTAATTATCGAAATAATTTCACTCCGGTATTACCTCCACAAGCTGCAGCATCAAATTCGCTCTTTCTGCTTTTGCTAGAGGCGCATAAAACTCAGTGTCGGAAGTTAGCCTGGGCCCAGGGTAACGTTCTCTGTTGTTTTTTGGGAAACAATTCTGCTTCTAGTTCCATAACATAACAGGAACTAAATTTGTTCACGGGAAGTTCATAAGTATGTAAATGTTAATAAACATGTAATAGCAAACACTCGTTTTACACTGACCAGAAAAATTATGCGTACAAGTTCAATGAGTAACTTTGTCGATCAAGAAATAGATGATATAGTGAAGATATCACCACTGTTCTTTTTATTATTAATAATACAATTTATTATCTTCGTATTGGTTCTTTTTTTATCCACATAAGTCATTAACTAACCTTAGCACAAATGTAGAAAAAGGGCTGGTTTTTATACTCTGTACATAAAATGTATAAGAGTATATTAGGTTTGCGGGAGCTGAAAATGTAACAGGCAGAAGGAGGCTTGGCAGACCCCACAAAGTATATACATATATTCTTGATCAGCATGACAAGACCAGTCGATCTATGTATGTCTGTATGTCCGTCCGTATGAACACCTGCCTCTCAGAGACTAAGAGCTAGAGACACCAAATTTTGCACAAAGTTGCCTTGTGTTTTGTTTTTTTGATTTTCCCCCACATTTCACCTCTTCCGTAATGCCGTTCGTATAATCGCCTATATATATGTATGTATATATAAAAATATGTTGAAAAAGGAAACCAGTAAAAGTACGAAACGCACTAACGGGGCATTAATGCAGACTAAAACTAAGCCTACAAAAAATAGCGCACCCAAAATAACGAAAACAGCTGTAAAAAACACTGAAAACACTGTATTAAATAAGTCGCTGACAAACAAGAGATTCGCGATTCTAAACCTGAAGAATATAACGCTCAAACCACCACCTATTTATGTGAGTCAGGTAAATTGTACCGAATTGGTTAGAAAACTAACCAATACAATTGTCGTACAAAAATTCTATTCAAGTCCATAAAAAAGAGTAACATAAATGAAAAAAAATTCAATGGTGAACAAAACTAACCTTCAGTGGCCAAATACCTTGACAGTGAAAAGTAGCAAAGGATTACAAGTGGTTGTCAAAGGAATCGATCCAACAGTTCTAGCTAATGAGATAATAGATGGACTTAAAGATAACAATAAATATAAATAAAAGTCCCCAACCAATGCACAAGATAGAACTGACACCTGGCTGTATGCCTATAAGTAAAGTAAAAATGAAGTTTATCCAATCTACATGCAGCAATATCTACTGCACCGTAGAATCACCATTGAAAATGAAATTGACCTGTCCAATGCACAAACTGCCAGGAATATGGGCACACAAAAACCTATTGCAGTCTACGCTAGACTGTGTTGCCTGCGGGGATGTACATCTCACTGAGCCCTGCCACGTAAATAAGGAGGACACCTCCCCTTAAAAATGTAGCAACTATCGGGAAAACCAAACTCAATTATAGAGGTTTCCCGGTCTATAAATAGTTAAAGAGTCGCTAAGTCAACCAAAATCCGCAGCTAGAAACTCAGTCATCCGACAAAAGTTGCCATACAGACCATCAACTACGATTCCAGGAGTATCTTTTGCTAAGGCGTTAAGTTACGCCAACGAGTCGTACGCCTCAGTTATTAAATAGAAACTTTAACAAACCACTGCAGAAATAATGCATCGTCAGGCATCTCAACCGGTGCTAGTAATTATTATTATTAAAATTCCACTTACAATTACAAATTGCAAGCAGCTTATGGTGTAAGCTATAGCTACTAAGGCCTTAAGCTTATGATTGTTTACAATTACGGTTATTTACATTTATTTACAGTTCGATCATTACTCTAGCTAAATTTATTACATAGTGGTGATTTCTATTATTTTATTGAAGACAAAAGAAGAGAAAAAGAACAAAAACAAAAAAGAAAACTTATTATTATTATTTATTTATTTTTATATGAGGTGATAAAGGTTTGTAGATTTCAGGAATGCAATAGTCTGATAGATGTTTTTGGGTAAAGTTATTTCATGTATTTTTGATTCTAGGAGTCTTGATCTTTCTTGTTGATATTTGGAACAGTCTAAAAGTATGTGCTTCAAGGTAATTGTGGTGTTGCATTGTGGGCATGTGGGTGGTGCAGATTTGTTTAAGATAAAGTTGTGGGTGAGGTTGGTGTGTCCGAGTCGAAGTCGTGTAAATTTTATTATGTCTAGTCTTGTTAAGTTCGAGCTTGGTACCTTGTTGTTTGCAGTTTGTTTGGAGTTGACAATTTTATAATAGTGGGAGGTGTTATTCCATAACGCTTTACTCTGCTTATTGAGTTCTAGTTTATTGTTTGCATTGGGTGATTGTATCTCTTAACGATGACGATATTTTGGGCTGTTTTTTACTTATTTTAAATTTTTGGTATATTTTTCCTATAGGGGAGTTTTTGGCTGTCATGATTGTCTTACAGTTTTTAAGTGTGGCGTGGATTGTTCTGGTTTCAATTGGAGTAGTTGGAAATGCTCCCATTGCTAAACGAAGTGCAGAGTGGTATATTGTTTTTATCTTACTAAGTGCTGATTTTGGTGATTTTCCATAAAGATTGAGACAGTAATCTACTTTAGACAAAATCATGGATTTAACTATATTTATTAGTGTATTAGTGTGACAGTTAAATCTTTTGCTTGATAAGCATTTAATAATGTTCAGTCTTTTTGTAAGTTGTAGTGTGAGATTTTCTATGTGTTGGTTCCATCTGTAGTTACTTGTGAATGTGACTCCGAGTATTTTGAGGGAGTTCTCAGTTTTTAATGTAAAGTTGTTGGAATGCAGTTGAAAAGTGCATCCTTTTTTCCGGCAGATGTGGAGATGTTTACATTTAGGTATTGATAGTGATGCGCCTGAGTAGTTGCACCATTCTATTATATCCTCTAAGCGATTGTCAATGTTGAGTGAGTATTGGGTTCTATTAATTTTGTTCACTATTGTATAGTCGTCGGCGTAGGCGGAGAACTGGAATGAATTATGTTTGGCTATTGTTTTGTTTAATTTGTTGAAGGCTATTGCAAAGAGTATTACCGACAATGGGGAGCCTTGAGGGATTCCATTTTCTAATGGTTTTATTGTAGAATGGGCATTGTAAGTTTGTACTATTATTTGTCGGTGTGTTAGGAAATTTTGTATGTACTTCATTATTTTTGGACCTATTTTCCATGCGGTAAGTTCGTCGATTATCGTGTGGATTCCTACTCTATCGAACGCTTTGGCGAAGTCCAATGATAGAACAGATAGGTGACTTTGGTTGCGAGGGACGAAGTGATCTGAAAATCTAGCAAGGCTAGAGGGTCAGACACCGATTTTCCCTTTCGAAAACCCATTTGCCGACTGTCAAGTAGCTGGCTGTTAGTAGCTAGCCACCAAAGTCGATTAGCTACAATTTTGACGAGGACTTTAGAGATACAAGAGTTTAGTGAGATTGGACGGTAGGAGTTTATGGATGTTTTATTGGTGTTTGGTTTTAATATAGGTATTATGTTGCTAATTTTAAACTGTTGTGGAATATGTCCATCTAGTATTTTGTTAAAAAGGTTAAGTAGGCGATTTTCAACGGCGGGGGACAAGTTTTTGAGCATAGGGTAACTGATGAGATCTCTTCCAGGTGTTTTACCATTTAGTTGATTAAGAGCAGCTTTTAGTTCGAGTAGGGAAATATCGTTTTCTAGTTTCATGGCTATAGGTGATGGGAAGTGAGTTATAGTGTGGCGGGAGTTTGCTTTGTGGTGTCTGAAAATTGTTTGCTTTGTGGTGTCTATGTTTGCAGTTTCCTGATTAATTTGTTGGCTTGGTTGTTTTGTATTTGAATATTTGTCCGTGAGCTTATGAAAAAGTGGCCAGTCAGCATTATTTAAAATAAATTTGGGCTTAAAGGCGGGTGTGTATGAGCTGTTTTTTTGGAACATTGTTAGATGGATTGGAAAGTGGTCGCTGCCTGAGAGATGGTTGTCTGTGTTCCATTTTATGTATAGAGCGAGGTCTGAAGATGCCATGGTAAGATCGATGTGTGTAAATGTGTGGTGTGTGGTGAAGTGTGTCGGAGAACCATCATTAAGAGTAATAAGAGAAGTTTGGTTAATGAATTTGTGAAGTGTATTACCTCTGGTGTTGTTTGTTTGCAAGCCCCAGCTTCTGTGCCAGCTATTGAAATCCCCTGTTATTAGTAGTGGTGGCCTGATGTTATTAAAGATGTTTCTGAGATTTTTTTATTGAGAAGGGTTTGTTTGGTGGGATGTATGAGATGTATGAGATTATAGTGAATTTTTTTTGG